TGCAGCACCAGGGACGACTTGAGATCCGTGAGCTGCACCAATTACTACACCAACTGATGCAGAATTAGTGTCTAAATCATTTTCTCTTTTCGCTTTCTCCGTCCATCCGTCCGTCACATCTGTGCTTCTGTGTGTCTATCTTTATGTGCGTTCAGATGCTTGTCTACCTATCCATCTGTCCGCCTATCCACTTGTCTGACCGCTGTCTGTTCCATTCCCGTTTATTTCGTGCTGTTACAATCTACAGCTGCAAATTTTTTCCAGCTTATATCTTATAGAACTCTGCGTAGTGCCTAAGTTCAGGCACAAAACCCCTACAGAAAGTGAATAGCGTGGGAGCTTTTGTTACAACCTCTACATAATGCCCAGTTTTGGAAAAGCATCATAAAGTGATCTAAGATGATTTTGCTTTACTAGAACGAGTTAGCTTGACTTTTGTGGTTAGGCGTAAGTTTTGATTAATTTCGTTCGGAATATACTTGCAGTTACAGGAATAACGTTCTTATTCTAGAGTATGTTCGCTTTGAAGCTTAAAGCTATCCTAAATTAAGTGAATTATGATTGCGTTGGAGATTTTCTCAACGATAATCAGAATCATACAGAAACTATAATTTTCATATTTTATGAATATGATCGGCTGAAGTTTTTATTCTTTGCTGTGTTGCTCTGTTTTTTTTTTTTATCATGGCAGCAGAAATTTTGCAATTTATAAATACTTGTAAGACTAGCAGTTTTAAAAACACGATATGATAAGCCGCGATTTCGAGCTCAATATTCAGCTCGACTGCCAGTACAAATTCAGTTACATATAGAATCCCTTCTGAGGTATGTCGAAATGATATTGTGCTGCATTTGAAACTGAACAAGTTTTGTAGAACTTATCCAGAGCTATGTGTAAATGATGCCAAGTTTTTCTTTCCAGACAAAAACAATCGAGCTTTTAGCAAGCGCGGGAAAGTTTCTTAGCGTTGAACTAACAGAGGAGAAAAAGGAGAAACTTATAGAAGATATGACATAGCTTATCAGAGAAAAACTTGCCTCATTAGAAATATATTTAGATAAAAACAAAGCAGCATCAAATATTTATGTTAGTAATTAAACCAATGAATTTAAGTCTTTTCCTTATTAAGAAATCATGATTTTGTTTAGAGTCCAGTGATGGTAGTTAGTTTAGGAAAATTTCATTTTATGATCATCAAAGTCGTGCTTTCAACTTTTTGCTATTCTTTAGATTTGTAAAACTCCAAAACTACATATCGGTTACAATTTGTTGATATAGATATGTCGAATTGCAGATCAATTCTTCCTTTCATGTGAGCTTTCGCCCGTCAGCCAGTGTATGAGTTTTTCGTTTCAGTTTCCGTTTGCCTACTGAATTACTGTCTTTACAAATCATCCATTCACCTGCCTATCCGCTCTGCTGCTCATCCATCGTTGTGTCCAATTCTTCAACGTCCATCCTGTACGCTCCTATGATGGTGCTCTGCTCATTCGCATCGACCAGCAATGCGATTTATATTCCTCTTCACACATTCATTCGTCTACGTAACGTTGTCAGAAGTGTTAAAGCAGCAAACTTTGGATCATTGAAGCTTAAGAACAAAACCGAATTGCTCGCGAATATGATAAAAAATACCTAGATTACTGAAAAAAGAAATTCGAATTTTCAATAAACTTTCCGCAATAGATATAGATATAGATAGAGAGTAGCGATGTACAATTTGAATATTTTGTTTGGAATTCAATTGCAAAGACTTCTTAATGCCTCAAGTGACTTTAGCATTTTTTCTCGTGCAATTTTATCTACGTGCTTTCAGCGAATATCACTGACTTTAGCGCAATAATAGACGAAAGGGTCCACGCGCTGTTTTCCTTGTTTCCGATGTACACATAGATATTTCTTCCAAACTAAATACATTTAATTTCGTTGCTTGTAAGGAAATACATTTCATACTTTCCGTATGTGACTTGTGTGTATGTGGGCTTGTGTGGCTTCGTACTCAGATATACGTGCATACTTTTCATAATTGTCTTTTTCCACTTGTTTCGTTTATTATTAATGAAGAAAAATTGTCATTCACCGCCTTATGGCCCTTTCGGAAAGTCTTCGAAGGATAGCACGATCAAATTTTAACAATGTGCTCGCAAGAAGCTCGATTGAGACATCGAACAAGAGTAAATAATATACATCTTTGGAACTCTCTGCCCTACATTATCGGCAATGCAAGCAGATTTAAATCAGAATTGTATATAAATACTATAAAGAACATAGTGAATAATGATTCACTTAGATTGGACACAAAATACAGTGCGCATTGGAAAACAAGCGTTGGAGTTCCTTGTTGTTTCATTTCATTCTATGAGTTCTATACCACTTGCGGCACAGTGTATATTAAGTTTGAGCGCATGTACGTAATATGTAGATGGACTTCTCAGCTTGTCTGTCCACCCACCCGTCTTCTTTGCTATGTTCAACCTAAAATCCGCAATTTGTGACACTCGTGGATGAAATCTGGTACACCGACATGTTTTGACCCAAGGACGACTGCTTTTGAAAATGGTTCGAATCGAACTAGTTTTTCGACCGCTTCCCATAAAACGCCTGAAAACTGGCTAAACTAACAAATGGCGAAAAAAATCTCTAGGTATTAGTGTTCCTGCATCTAAATTGGTTGCCATTTAATCTTTCTTACGGAAAGTGAATCCTTAAGAGGTCTTTTTTTTTGATTCCATCCCATACTGGGGTTTCAATGAAAAATGTCTTTATACAGCAAAATTGTGGCCAGCTTTTGACATTTTATGATGAAACTTCGTTCGTAAGAGTAAATGGATATAAAACGTAACTGTATCAAATTTTGCTGAAGTAGATCCATTTTTTAAATATTTTATGACGAAAACTGAGCTGTAGAAATGTAGCATAAATGGCATTGCATACGCTTTTTTTTTATCGACTATGCAGCGACTTACGGGAAAAGTGAGTCGCGGCGAGTGAGTTCTACGGCGACAAAGTCTAGTTTTTAGTTTTTTTATGACGAAAACAACGGAAAAATAACAAAATCTTTTACAAGCTAATTAAATTTGCCACGATAGTTGTTGTATTGTTCATTCCCGATTCCTTTACAAGAAATTAATATATAATTTTTGACATGTTATCTCGAAAATGAATGAATGATTGCATTAGGTGAGGTGGCATAGGTTATCTAATGATCGGTGTTGCGAAACTATAGTGTGCGCGCTTGTTTTGCCTTAATCCAATTGCGTATTTATTTATATTTTTTTTATATAAAATATTCGTCGATATTTATTTATCGATTCGCTAATATTGTTATTAGTATTCAAGTCAAATAACATAAAAACAATGAACACCAAATAACGATTAAGAGGATATTAATTTGTTAATCTACTGCAAGGCAGATTGAAAGAATGCAATTTTCGCTACGCAATCGACGTACTAAACAAATTAAAGAATGTATGTATTTTAAAATATTTTTGTTTGTATATATATGTTTTTTCGAAAACACTTAAAGGCATCCTCTACTTGTCAGAGAACATTCGTAGAGTGGGAAGAAAAACTATACGGGAAAATGTATTCGGTTATATTGATCTTCAAAATGTTGTCTTTGATCAAAGGGTTGCATGCCTAACAATAGCCAATAATTTCACATGTGATATTTTACATATAAAATTTTCTCATTTTCTCATTTTCCGCTGCACATTCATGCATAAACTCGCAAAAATTTTATATATACACTAACAAATGTTTATTTGGAGTTGCGAATTGATAAACTTCACGTGGTTTGCTTACAAATCAATAACACTCGTTTCAAAATAATTTCGAATAAAATTGAAAACATTCCTGCTTAAGTGTTTTCATTTAATTGTTTTTCCATTTTTTTTTTTTTCTTGTTTCTATTTTCAGCGTTATAAGCATATACAAGTAAGTGAAAAATCAAAAACGGAAATAACAATTTCCTAAAATATAAAGTGATATAACTTTTTCGTTAAAAAAATAATTTGCAACTGTTAAAACAACTACGACAACAACAACAAACAGCAAGATTTATATATATACATATATATATATATGTATGTATATTTACATATCTATATATTTATATATATATATTTATATATGTACATGTATAGGAAAAAGACTTTTGAACTAAAAACTACATAAAAATGATGAGGAGCCTGCTGACGACGATGATAATGATGATCATAACGATGTTGATAATGATGACGATAATAAAGTCAACGATATGAAATAGACGCTAAAACCGAGAAAAATCTAAATTCAAAACAAAAAACATATATATATTTGCGCTTAAATATACATGTATTTGTGTGTGTGTATACGTGCATAGACAGCAATAGGAAAATCGCGAAAAACAATGGAATTTGTTGCTGGATTTCGTTACGACAGCCAGTGTAATCAAATGATAGAAAACATTTTGTTAGATTTGCTAGAAAAAAATATAAAAACAGTATAAAAAAAGAAATAAATAAATAAAAAATAAAATAAAAACGAATTGAAATACAAAAATTTTATAAAATAAGGTAGCAATAAAGCACAAAAACAAAAAAAAAATTAATATAAAACCATTTTTTTTTTTTGTCAATAGATGAACTAATAAATAAACAAACAAACAATTCAAACGTAATAGGTTTCGTTGTGAAGAAGGATTGTTGGCGGATTACAGTGCTGGCAAAAAAGTTTATATAGCACCGGTACAAAATGGAATGAAAAAATTTATTTAAAAAAAAAGTTTTGTTCGAAATACAAAACTAATATAAACAAAAAATAGAACATTTTTCTTTCTTTTCTTTTTTTGGAGCATAAGTGTTGCTTTAGTTGGAGATTAAAAAAAGATTTCATAAAATATTACAAAAATCAAATAACATCAAAAAAAAAAAGAGAATTTTTCCTTCAAGCAGGAAATTATTAATTATGAGTGTTACAATCATAACAAGAACAAGAGACACATCACATCAGCAACAACAGCAACAACAACAACAACAACAACGAAGGCATTAACATTAACATTACCCATAAGAATAACAAGGCATTGCTGGTAATTAATTTGCCTGTAGTTCGTAGCGAGTTTAAATTGTAAGAAACAAACCACCAGCGATTTATCTAAATAAGTCAACGTGTCATTAAATAGCTAAACAAAACAGAAAACAACAACAACAAAAATATCGAATAAAATTGAACAAAATTGAACAAAAACAAATATATCTTAAACTTTAACGTTACGTTGATTAACGTTTTAGTTTATCTGGCAAATGAATTATTTGATTGATTTGTACTCTTTCACATTTCCTTAAGTCATTTGTGTGCAAGACTCGAATTATATGATGCTCGATAGCAGTGTCAGCAATATTGTCAGATATATTAAGAAAGAAGAAAAAACAAACAAAAAGGAAAAGAAAAACAATAACACCACCATCATCATCATCATCAATATCAACAACATCAACAACAGCAGCAACAATCCCTTATATCTTCAGCAAATATCTATAGCTTACGTCGTCTGTTAATACGAATGAAACTTGAATAGGAAAAAAAGTGCGTGATTTAGTTAAAACATTTGTCGAGTTCACGTCATTTGCTTACATATATCGCTAAGGAAGTGTAACACGTGTGTGCATTTAAATCTGTCATAAACAATCAATTTATAATATTTCAATGTGTTTTTTGACATTCTCACAATAACAATGAAATGTGTTTAAGGAAAAACAAAGCAGAAAGTAAATAACTGATAACTTTGTTTGTTTGTTTCGAATACACTACGCTCGTTAGTGTCAGTTTTGTTAAAATTGCATTTATCTAAATGTTAATATATTTAATAAAGAGAAATTAAAATCACTGCCAATAAGTACTACAAATAATATTACCGCTATTACTGGAAGCATTACAACTACTCTTAGCGCAAGAAGAACTAACTACTGCTACTACTACTACTGCTGCTGCTGCTGCTGCTGCTGCTGATACTGCTGATACTGATACTACTACTGCCACTACTTCGTAGACGAACAAATCTGCCTCTTAACAATTGTATGAAACGCCAACAAAATCACCCGAGCAAAATGTTATCCTCTATTATCCGTCGAACGAATGATTCATTAGCTAATGTAAAATTTTCAACGACAACCGGCAACGTCGCCACTTCAATGATTACTGTTGAAGCATCCTCCTCTTCACGCCGACGATCGCGGCCATCATCTTCATGTGCTGCTGCTGCCCCCTTAACTTGTTATAAATTAAATGGCATTTGTACAAATTTTACTACGAATCGCAATCTACTTATTGTTGGATTAATATTCATTATAGTCATTTGTAATGGTAAGTACTTCTTTGCCTTCAAGATGTTTCCCAACTGTTTGTATAATCGCATAAAATGTTCTTTTTTTTTTGTATAAAGCAATATTAGTTATAAAACCTATTTAGTAAATTTTAAGCAGAAACTTTCCAAAGCAAAAAAGCAAAAGAAAAAAACGATTATAGAAAATGTTCAATTTAATGCTCCGCTCTTCAATGCTCAAATCAAAAGTTTCATTAATTGCAGGCAATCCGAAAAATGTTCTGCACAAACTTCTAAATTATCCCACTAAACATTTATACGAAATAATTTATTTATTAAACTTAAGAATTCTCAAAGTGAAAGGGATACGAAAACTAGCGAATTCAAAGTGGGAAGTTGGAAGATCCTTAAATCTTCCGATGTATGGAAATGCGATTAACTGTCTGCACCTTTCAAACTTATGAGAGTGAATAAAAAAAAGTCGAATAATAATTCGGTTTTCTAGGAAAAGTGTTTAAAAAATAACCGAACTAAAGTTAGGACCAAATTGTTTCCAACTTGTGCACTTATCAAGAGACGCATGCATTCTGCGGTACATCCCCATTTCCATGCTTCATAAATGCTTTACAAGTCAATCAGAAAATTCACGGCATAAAACTGGATTAACATGGATCATCAAAGCATCTATTGACCCTTGAGGGTAATGTATTTACTTTTGTTTCTCGGTGATGTACTTTCCAAGTCGCATAAAACTTTCGTGCAACATTAATGAGTTGAAATCTTTTTTTGTGTTGATCTTTCTTTATGTTCTCCATTACAATAAACATATTTTCTTCATGGAGGGAATGAGAACCGTCATCTTAACTTCTTTTGCTAGGCAAACTCCCTTCCATTTGAAAGTGAGTTTCTTAAGCTCAGAGTGAGCGCGGGCTAGTTGTGGTGAATATGGTCGAGTTTACCCATTGCGAAGAAGTCATTGTCAATCAATGCATTTTTTAACCAAAATCCTAAGACGTCGAAAAACAAAAACAGTTTGGAGACCTTACAATCCCGTCAAGCTGGCTGTTAAATATTACGAACTACTTAGCATGATATCATATTTAATCTTCTTTCATCATGAAATACTCAGAACTACTCATTGTGGTCAGGTTAAGACCTACTTTTCTTGAAAACTCTGGTAGAAGGCCGGGAAATATATTTTTTTGGCCTAAATTAGGCGCTAATCGACTTTGTTAGTATATAAGGGCTGATATATTTTGTAGGAATGTTTACATGGGAAGGAAAAACAAAACATGACAACAACCCGTCCAAACTTTCCACATTTATTAAATTCATCTTTGAAATGTTATTTTTTTAACCGATGTTTGCCGATGAGATTGAAAAAAAAAAATGTCGTTTCAAATAATGTCTTCAAAACCTAATACTTTACGTGAAGAGCGGCCTTAAAAATGAGGCGATCGAATGCATTTTCAAGAGCGTTCATATTATTTCATCCAAAGTGTTTAAGAATTTGGGACCTTTAGGTTGAGCGCAAACACATGTAGGCAGGCACTAAATGGATGAATAGAGAGACATGATTAAATCGATTCTGAAAATGATCCTCAATGGGTCGTGTCCATTAAAAATGGTGTCTTTATATCAATACCAGGGATGGCATCGGAAGGGTATAACAAAAATGATGCCAATATCTTCATTAACAATTTCATGCGTTATTGACTGCTTTGAGAATGGAAATCGGGGTAAGTCTTAACTGTTTTTTATTCAGAATTTTAACGTTAATGTCACTTACAAAAGCAACGCTTAAATTCCCTTCCTTTTAAAAACATCGCAAACATGGTTGGCAAGGTTTGCTAAAATTTTTTTTCGATGAGAATCTGACGAAAGTCCTATGCGCATTCTCATCGTGAATTCGTTAGCTATAAAAATATTCTTTAAACTGAAATGCGTGTTGCCTGAATTAAGTCCAGCCACTCCATAATCTTCTTTAAATTAAAATGTGAATGACCTGAACGAAGCTAACTGTCATAGTTGGCCTGTGGTACATAACGAAATCAAGGACATAGATAATATGAAAATTCCAATTGTATTATTCTGAGCCTACTCGCAATATTTTCTATTTTTCTTTCGCGTATGGTGGAGCATTGCCCTTTTACTTTAATCCTCACACTCAGAGATGACTTCCGTATGAGGTTCAGTTCGTAGCTGAATTTCTCAACGCAGCTCTCTCATAAATCTTGGGTCGATTGTATCCTTCCCGTCCAAGATACGAACCTATGAAGCACATGGCGGCAGAATTCGTTCTAAAAATACATGTAGCGGTTACGGTTAATATTAAACGTAATTTCCTTTTTCATTTCATTGTTTGTTTGCACAGGTATTTCATCGCCACATGATATTCTGCGTTTTACTTTTGTAAATGAACAAAACAAGTCCTGGCTTTAACTAGTTCTTTTAAGCAAGACTACGCTTTGACAGATTTATTCAGAGAATTTGTATTGCGCTTACCTGAACTGCGAACGTTTTACCATGCATGCAAGCAATGTCGTCTATTTGTGTGGCTGCAAAGTTGCTGAACTGCCCACCACCTGCAGCGAGTATAAAAAGCAATTTTCAATTTATCTTACTGTGCACGAAAGTAATGAGAAAACTTGTTTTTCTTTCAAAATAAAACTCTTCACTTTTTCGGTTACTGTAGAGATGAACAGCTTTCATTTCAGTTAAAGAGTGAAAGCCTAAATCATATCTGTTACGACCTACGGAACGAAGGTATATAGCATGTTCTATTCACAACAGTCTTCGAAGCAGTTAAAAGGTTAATGCATAAGTTAAAGATCGACTTATCCAACTACCGCGGCGTGTTCCTCTACTTTTAACTAATTTTAACAGCTTATGGTATATAAAAGACAATATTTGTTAATAGTCAACTTCAGCCATAGTTAGAGTTTGAAGCATGAGTCAAAACTTGATTTAGAGAGCCATCACACATGGCATTTCGGACTCCAAAAACAAAAAAAATGATCTCGATCGTTTAAAAAAAGTTATACGCAAACAAGCAGGCATTTGGGCTTGCGTTTCTAACACCCATAAATACAACTTGTAAAATTATACTGCGACCGTCGTAAGAGGCCGGGTTCATTTAGCTCTGGGTATCTATCTGCCCACTTCAACAAAATCTGCTTTATACAAATAAAGTCCTGTAGCCGCGGCCTTAGCAATTAATGATGCGATTAACTCCAAAGGATAATTGCAGTGAGCTTTAATTTTAGCAACCGTAGCTTGCATAATGTGTGTATAAGTGAAACCGGAATTTGCCCTTAGATAACCTTAGATGTCGATGTAATTAGTGTCAAACTGGACAAGTTTTTCGTTTCCATTTTCATACTATATACAGGCTTGTATTTTCTTTATGAAAATTGTTGATTCACATTTACATACCAAGTATCAAACCGTAGGTCCGATAAACTTCGGCAAAAATAGATGAGTAAAATGTTGAAGAAATAATATTTAATTGGCCATCAATGTGCGATTAGCTTCTGACATACAATGTGTCTTCACAATTTAATTGAATGAGAGCGAGCAGGTGGTAGTGCGAAATTTTTATTATTATTCCTTTTTTAATAAATTAAAAGAACATCATCACTAATTGCAAGTACAGTAACGATAAGGAAGGGTCTGCGATAGAAGACAGGGAGAAGGCGAGAGATATTACTTCAAACGCATTATTTATTTTAATCTTTTTAATTTTATCCCACGAAAATTATAGGTTTCGTGGGTCAACAGTAAAGCTATGCGAAAATTGTTAGTTAACATAAACTATTTAAAAATACGTGTTCTCGCACATAAACCTTAATAGCATCTTACAAAGTGTCGGTAGCTTTTCTTTAATTACAGCCAATTGTTTTCAACAATAACAGAAATAACGAAAACAACAGCAATAACAAAGCAACAAACAATAACAACTTTTATCCTCAAGCTAACCTAAATAACAACACGCACAGGGACACATAATGTTCTTGTTGAATTTCATGTGCCTTGTAAAGACAAAAAAAAAAAAAAAAACAAAAAAAAAAATGACATAAAAATTCCTTTACACGCATACATGCAGGAATTTTGCACTGGGGATTTATAGTTAGAAAAGCTTTTGCGAGAAAGCCTTTAAGTCCGTGGGTAACTATAAGAACATTACCATTAATTTAAGGTTCACGCAAAGCGCTTAAACAAACCGTAGAAAAGAAAATCTCCGGCAAGCGCTTTACACTAATTGGGTTGATTCTGACGTCCTCGACGTAGGGGGTAGAGGTATTAAGCTGAATAACGCTATTGTTTGTAAATCCTATGGAGTAATTAAACAAGAATACAACGCAAAACAACAGCACACAACAAAAATAGCAACAACCAGCATAACTGAAACAGAATTTGTTCGTTCTTTAGCATACATGTATGCTAACTATATCCTATGACGTGTTAGGCATTAATGTGTTCGCGCCTTAAGAACCTACAAACATGCAAAATTCTTCTAAGCATACGTTAGCTATATAGGCACATAGAAGCACGCACTTGCAACTTCGTACGTAATATGTACATAGGGAAACACGGAGGGCATGAGGGACCGACCGACCCATATAAAACAAGCCATGAATGCATTGTTTTTGAAACCGAAACTCATACAATATCTTAACACAATAAAATCTCAACAGATTCGAACCGCAAAAGCTTGGAATATGTGTTAACGTATGTAAGAATGAATGAAATGATGAATTGTTACAGGGAATAACAACAGACAGAGCAATATAGCAGCAGGTCATACTTACTAAAAAGCATCATGGCCTTGCATTGCAGCATCAACACCAGCTACAGCCTTAGATATCTCGATTTGTAAATAATAAGAAAACCGTGTTAGGAGAAGAAATATTAAGACAACTGAGATAACTTGCTAGTGGAATAGGAAATCGAGGCGCCAAGTGTGCATATAAAATAGAAGAAGAAAAAGGCGAAGAAAATGCCGAATACCATGACATCTATGGGTTAATACATAGTGTGT